GAGCAGATGCAGAAGGAGGCTGATAGGAAGGAAGCGGAGGAATTGCAGAAGGCGAAGGAGAAGGGTGATATTGATGCGCTGGAGGATGAGGGCGAGTTTGTGGATTTGAAGAGGACGGGTGAGGTTGGGGAGGGGGGTGAGGAGGCGAGGAAGAGGAGGGAGTTGTGAGGAGTGTGGGGGAGGGGGGTGGTGGGTTGTTTTGTGAGTCTGTATACCCTTTGATCTTGAGAATGAATATGACCGTTTTCAGCAAGAGCGAAGCATTTTCAAGTCCTCAAATAGGTCACATCCGAAGTGCCTGTCTCAAAGTTGGATATACAGCTTACATTGCATGCCCGCTCGGCCTTCGTTCTTTTGCAGGTTAGCTTAACAGGGCCAGACCGGTAAGGACTACTTGGCGCATACTGGCCCCCAACAGTGATTGCCATCCCGTCTGCCAATCTAAAATCCATGTCGTTCTTCTACATCGGGGACAAGCAGGCGTTATGGCCCCCGCATGGTTAGCTTTCCCGCCACTGCTTACTTCCCGACATCTGGAGGCTTCAGCCAGTTTCATGTCCACTTCTTCTACTCACGAACTGCAACATCATTGCTTTGACCAATGTGCTGGTGCAGAAACGTGGGCACAATAACCAAATTGTCATGGCATCTCGCCTTCCCGTTCCCGCTCGTATGTGGCTTGTAGCAGTCTGGTTTGGCTGCTCTTTGGGTCGGGCAGCCTCTGTGGCGCCGCTGGTCGTTGCGCCTAGCGGACATTGGTAACGTTCCATGACCATAAGTTCGGGATCCAACTAATCGTGGAACAGGGACGGTGCAGACGGTCCGTGGTCAACCTTTGACCTCTCTGTGGGCAATCCGGTTCAGTCTTTTCGGTGCATTCCTGGCATTACCTCTACGGTTGTCATTGTGCCAAATGAGAGCGAATGGTGCAACGACACATGCGCTTTCTTTTACGGCGGTTCGTCAAAGACCTGGGAATTTACACCTAGCCATCTCTTACCATTGGCAATCGAGGAATACATCAACAGCTACTCCGATGTTAGCGAAGACAATGCAACGCACGTACCTACCTTTGGCGTCGACGATATATACCTCGAGAAGACTGCGCAAGGCCGCAAAGTCTCCTCACAGTACGTTGCTGAAACTGATCGGAAGCGGTTCCGACTTGGGATTCTAGGTCTCTTTCCAGGATCGGTCGGGCCCCCAGGAGCACAACATCCTTCACTCCTCTCGTCGCTCTGGGAGTCAAAGGTCATTCCTAGTTTGAGCATTGGCTACACAGCGGGCTCTGTCAATCGTAAGTAGGACTAGACCGGGTGGATACATGGCTCATAACTAAGATTTTCTGGTAGGCAACAGCTCAGCTAGTCTGGTCCTCGGCGGATACGATGCTGCACGATTCGATCCTACAACGACTACAACATTGGGTTTCTCTATCGATCAAAATTGGTCATTCGGTATAACTTTGGATGCAGTTAGTATAACTGGGGGCGCCTCGTGGGAGCCGGATAAGGGAAACTTTTCTCGCCCACCAGTTTTTACAATCGACTCCGATGTTCCACATATCTGGCTACCGCAAGAAGGCTGTCAACTATTCGAAGCAGCTTTCGGACTGATCTGGGACGACTCTTTGGAACTGTATCTCGTCAACGACACGACGCATGCACGACTGTTAAGCGATAATCCTGAAGTAAAGTTCTCAACCGGGGTCTCAAGTCTGGAACAGCTAGTAAACTACACACTTCCCTACTCTGCATTCGATCTCCGGCTTACCTCCCCTTTCGTGGACAATTCTACTCACTACTTCCCATTGAAAAGGGCTTCGAGCCCCGCAGAGTACATGCTCGGTCGAACTTTCCTGCAAGAAACCTACATATCCGTGGACTACGAACGCTTAATATTCAATCTAAGTCAAGCGTCTCATGGTAATAGCGCCACGAACATCGTACCTGTACCTTCACAGATGGAACCCACCCAAACACCGGATCCACCTCTACCTTCAGCTACAAATAGCTCAAAAGGCCTTTCGTCAGCTGCATATGCTGGGATTGGTGTGGGCGCAGGTATCGCGGCACTTGCAGCATTGTGCCTAACCATTGTCTGGAAGAAGCGACTAGGGCCTTTCCGACGCAAGACCACACTAGGAGACAATCACTACGATAAAGGAGAATTGCATGGCGACCACAAGCCCTGGGTTGAAGCTATGGAGAAAGAGAGAGTTGAACTAGACGCAGGCTCAGGCACACAAGAAGCTATGAACAAGGATACATCTGAGCTCGAAACAGTGGAAAATGCCCTTGAATTGAAAGGCTCAGGTGAAGTAGGCGTTGCGGAAGTTCAAGGCAGTAATTTGGTACACGAGCTACCTGGCCATCATGATGACATACGGGTAGCAGATGAGAGGACTCGATCTTCTTCGTAGATGCGCGTCTTACATGACAGGGCTGTAATGTATCATTAAAAGTAGGATTTTTGGAAAACATACCGTGATTTCGTACATGCTCCTGATCGACATTTCCATGCACCTAGATCGGTTAGCGTTGGACAAGCTTTTCACACGCGCGTTGGCGTCGTCAACGCTTTGTGCATCGTCCGCTCAACCCATGCCTCGATGTCATCTATACCCACACGACGCATTCCAGAAGCGCCACAAGGGTGATCCGCAGCGACCCCACGAGCGATGACATCCCCTGTACGGCACTCATTCGCACAGCAAGTCAACCCTATGTCAATGGAGCTGTGTCGACCCCTCAATCATTAATATAACCGTACACTGTTTATCTCTTATACAACGACTCAACTAGCAATCTAAGCGCTGTTGACATGACAGAATGCATCATCACCCTCCTAAGCATCATCAACATCCATTTCATCGCCCCAATCCTCCTCATTGGCATCACCATCCGTCGTCTCACTCCCATCCTGGACATCGCCCTCATTCGCCGTCTCCGCTACAGGAGTCTCGTTCCTCGCAATGAGATAATCGGCACTCCGCTCGTAATCTTCTTCCCAAGTTTCCAAAAGGTTAGTCCCACCGCCAACGAAATAAAGGTATCCAACTTCACCTGCCACTTTCCGAACTTGTCGCTCCCATTCCTCGCGCTCTTCCTTCTCTTTTAGCGTTTCTTCAAAGCCCGGTTCGACTTCGACGTCGTCCGTCGTCTCCGAGTAAGACAGTGAGCTGCGCGGCGGTCTGGGGCGCGCTGTATTACCGCGTGCGCGCCGTTCCGCCGAACGTACCATTTCTTTGTTATTCTGATGCGTAAGGCGGCTGAAGTAGCCGGAGATTGGGTAGTTCCAGAAGTCTTTGTTGATGGGCATGTCGCCTAAGCCGTGCTTGCGACGTAGTGCCGCCTCGGTCTTGTCTCGGGCTTCCCAGGCTCGTCGCAAATCGGCGTCCGAGAGCATTTCTTTGCGCTTGTCTGCGATTATCTGGCGCAGTATGGGGTTGCCTCTGTGTGTTTGCGGGGGTGTAGCATGCTGGTTGCGCGAACGTGGTGGTGTCTGGCGCACGAGTATGTGTGAGGTGGCAAGAGCGCTTGGTTTCTCCCACCAAGCCTCGTACTTTGTGGGTTGCGCCTCAGGCATGGTTGTGGGGTAAGATGATACCAAGGAGTCACAGACGGGGCACAACGAGGGTGATTTGTTGGGTAAGACTGCTGCCTGGATGTTGTTGGGGTTGAACTGGGTGTGAGCGTCGTCCCACGCTCGCTCGCGCTCCCAGCGCAGCTGCTCCTCTTTGCGTGTCTTCTCGAGTCGCTGCTTCGCTATCAGGTACCCGTTTCTTGCCCTGTTCCACCGTCGGTTGCGCATGTACACTGGAGGTCTTAATCCGCCTTCGGCTACCAGCTTCTTGAGTGCAACGTCGGACTTTGCTCTAGCCTGCGAAACTGTGCATTTGGAACACCACGGTGTATGTTGTGGATTGGAGGGGTGGAGTCCATGGTGACATCGAGTCGCAGTCCGTATCTCGTGACCATAAGGTGAGTGAGCAAACGGCTGTTTCTTGCTAGGTGAGAACAGCAACGTGTCGTCTGGGGTGAACATCATCGGCATGGTGAGTATGATGGTCTGGCTGGTGTATTTGTTGATTTATGCTGGTGAAGCTAGTGTGCATTATTGTGGTGGAAAAAGATGGGGTCGCGTGCTGTGGTTTACCACAGATTAGCGAGGGCGGTCGTAATGGGAGCTGGGGGCTATGAACGTGAAAAAAAAATTAGAAGCTCTCTGACTTTGAATGTAGCAGGCGCAAAGGGGCGTGTTGTGCGAGGGTTTTAAACATAGGTTGCACTCCAGCGTATTCAATGAGGCGCGTCAGGGCGTCATCGTGCTCACTTCTGATTGGTGTGCTGTCCTAGAAGTCTCACGCGAGCAGTCATCGAGGCCGTTCGTGCGCTGTTTAGTCTACGATCACCCACACGCTGACTGGCTTCGTGGGGGCGTCAAACTTCATAAAGAGCGCGGTAGCCGATGCTAGAGCACGTCGCATATGCTATAGGAAGTCGGAAGCACTTTTGCCACCCGGACCACAGCGTACACCATGTATCGTCGTCATGGGCCAGGGTGTGTACCTTCACCTTCGCATCAGGCGCTACCCAGGTAGCCTGGCAAGCCACACTATGTGGCGCTCGACACTCACCTTCACTTGCACAGCTCGATGTAGAAATCATGGGCTCAGTTCAAGCCAGTCTCGCATGGTCACTTCAACGACGCCATCTACACTCATTTCCTCTCCTAGCTATGCTCGAATATCTACGACAGTCTTAACTCAGTCGCTCATTACAGGAGTCGTTTTCCGTATATATCGCTATTCACTGCGACAATTCAGGCTGGTTTTTCCGACCGACTCGCTGTAAACGAAGGTGACGGACGATCGAAATCGCAAGTCACCGCAGCATTCACTGTCGTATTCGGGCTCGAGGATTTATGCCCAAGCACCACCATCTTACGCTCATATAAGAAGCTCTCTTTTGACATCACTTCTGTACCAAAGACACAACATGGAGCAAAAGCAGCCGAGAGCCTCGCGAAGGTCTGTATCGTTCAATCCAGAAGCACCAACTTTCAGTCCAACTGCAGCCGAGACCAGCATGTCCACTGGACTTGCAGGACCAACTCCGCCTACCAGCCCGCGACAGAAGCCGAAGATGGGAGACGTATTCGATGGTAAGTCATCTCTCTCGCGAGCGCCTCTAGCAAGATTAACTCAATTGCAGAAGACTCGTCGCCTTTCCGGCCTACTAGGGATCTGCGACCTAACTACCAAGGCTACGAAGAGCTCAAGTTCGGAGCAACCTCGCGGAAGCCACGCAAGCAGGAGGACATGCCGTTAGATTCTCTCCAGGAGATGTTTCAAGGTAACGTCGATCTTATCACAATGCGAGGATCGAAGCTGACTTATCTAGACCACCACATCACTATGAACCGTGAACGACCCGGTGCAATCTCTCGCAGGAACCTCACTGGAAATTATATCAACAGCCCGCGTAGCCTCTTCTCTGGTCATCGACTCAACCCCGACTCCAAGGCGCCAGACGTCGGCGAGTTGAGTGTGGGCCTCGGTCTCCCTGGTATCAAGAAACAGGCAACTGAGGTCGACTCCTCAGCACGCTCCCAGAAGTCCCGCGTCTCTGAAGGTCTTCAAGAAGGCGTCTTTGGTAAGCTCATAGACCGGGCGCTGGACAAGCCGTTAACCGCGAATACCCTAGCCCAATACCTTCATGGCAAGGAAGCACCGTCTGATGACGCGAAGACACCTCTGAGTCGCAAGAGCTACATTCAAGATCGCTATCCAGAGCGTGCGGATGAGGAGCGCCAGTCTACCAAAGTGGTCCCCGCGCCTCCGGGCTTCATGGGCGAACGTCCTCGTAGGATCTTCGCGGAGGAGCGTAGCTCTATCAGCCCAGCGGTCATGCAGTCACCACTACAGCAAGTACCTACAGGTCCTGCGGGATTCGGACAGCCTCGTCGCTTCAGCAACCTCCAGACTCCCAACTGGCCGCCCCTACGTCCACGAGCACTCACTCGTACCAAGCGCACTGATCAAGGTCCCGAGCCTTCGCACGCAGATATCTACCCCGACGATGCGAACTTCATGCCGCGCCGCCAGTCCTACCAAGCAGAGCCTACAGAGAGGTTCCAAGGTTTCATGCCGGCGCTGCTTCCCGAGCGACCCTTTCGTGCAGAAAACACTGTAGTCTGGCCCACTCCCGCAGAAATGCATGCACAGAAGCCTAACAACCAACAGAGACGCAGCGGCTTCCCTCGCCATGTCCCAGCAGTGGAGAACCCTACGCCCGTAGTACGATGGTCCCCACCAGAACCTTCTTCCATGGCTCACTACATGCAGCAGTTTGGAGAGTCCTCCCACCCTTTCGCCTTCACTTTCCCGGCTCCGGCTCCCTCTGCCACGCCGCCGTTCGACATCTTCGAGAATCACCATGCCCCCACGTATGCTGACATCCACGAGACTGACGCCGAGATGGAGTGCCTCCTAGGTATTCTTCCCGACCTCTTCGACCTTGATCTGCCTGAGATGCCGTCGGACGCGCGCCCCCTCACTCCTGGTCAGAACGACGGTACTCGGTATGGCCTCAAGTACTACGGCATCGGTCTGGGTGATACTTGGGCTTGCCCTGTTGCGCGTGAGGACGAGCCGTTCAGGGTCCGTCCCCGTGATCATGATAGCTGGGGTGGATGGCAGTGGGCTATCGACAGGGGTTGGGGCAACGAGTAAGCTGTCATTGCGACTATGTCTAACGCAATCTGAACTGACCCTATATTCGAGTGCGAACGCTAGGCAATGAGTAACGAACATAGCTTGGATGGCGGGGACACTGGAGTGTGATGAAGGCACGGTCAGAGACTCTCTGGATATCACGTTGGCGAAGGAATGGCGGGCGGCGATACGGTGTTGCTGCGACGTCTTCCTTACTAGCCGGCATGGAAATCAAGGCTTACATATGATCATGGGTGAAGAGTTGTCGTTAGACGGTAACGAGAATATCATTCATCATTACATTGAGCAATTAAGAACCTAAGACCTAACATCTATTCACGTTGAAGTCGTCAACTACAGCATAGTGAGGACGAAGATTTTGAGAAGGTCATGTTCATAAGAATGTTTGAATAACAGGTCAAGAAGCCAAGTGTAATCTAAGGACGGTCTTCAACACACCGCACCCCAACGCCCAGACAAGCGTTCGTCCGTGTACTCATGCCGAAATCCTCATCGTCTATCCACAAGCCATTTGTTGCGCTGCACGTACCACACCAGCAAAGCACTTCCTCCTCAATCCGAGTCATAGTCCGTCTGCTGGCTCGATCGCTCGTTATCAAACGTAGCGCCGTACCGACACCGATACCGCACCTGATCAAGAAGAAGGATTAATATGGGCCTTCAGATTCAGGGGTTGCACACCGTGTTGGGGTGTCGCGGTCCCGGAACCAGCTTGAGGGGTGCCCATTCCAGATAGTGGACTTACGGCTCCACTGGGTGGGACGGGGATCTTGATGTCTTCAGGGCTTCCGGGGACCATGGATTCAGGTAGCTCGGGAATTTTGATGCGTTTGGCCACGTTGTTGTAGGAGGAGGGTATGATCTGGAGAGGTGTTAGTGTACTGGTAGGTGGCGATAAGTGTCACCGGTTTAACTTACCTCGATAATCTCATCGCGAGGGAACTCGAGCTTGGGTATGTCGGCTGCGTTACATGCCATGAGATATCCGTAGAGTACACGAAGGACAGACTCGTGAGCGATGATGAGAAGATCGTTCTCTTCACGCTCAAGCTCTAGGATGATGGGCTCCATGCGTACGGCAAGATCGTGGTATGATTCTGCGCGCGGGTATCGATGGTGGTACGGGTCCGCTTCGTGCTTCTTTACTTCCTCGGGGAACTCCTGCCGGATCTTGGCTTCTGACATCTTCTCGCATACACCGGGGTTCATCTGGCTCATTTGCGATCGCTGTCTGACGCGGTAGCCCATGGAAGCTAGAACCTCCGATGTTTGTACAGTCCTTCGGCGCGTAGAAGTCCAGATCGTCAACGGTTTCAGCGATGCATCAGTTGCGCCCGACTCAATCAGCTTCTGCTTCTCCTCTTCGCGATACTTCAGAAGCACTTCGCTCATCTTCTTGGCGTATTCATGGCCTGCTGGTGATAGGTCTGCGTCTGCTTTGTACGAGTCTTCCTCTCGCGTAGTTCCGGCCCGAGCGAAGTACGTCTGCCGTGACTTGATGTGAAGATTGAGTAGGTAAAAGACGATGCGTTGAGAGAGATATCCGAATGCGCAATTATTGACTACTACTCGCTCGCCAGCGTTGATCATCTTGATCCAGTGTAGGTCTGGCTCCTCCATGGTCTCGAAATGCGGTATCCGCGCGTTGATGCGTGCTAGGTAATCGTGAACCGCATCCTCGTCCTTCCATCCTTGGTAATCTGGTGAAGAGATCTTGACCCGACGGACGTTCTCTTGGATGATGCGCTCGTCGGTACAATGTGATTCGATGAAAACTGTCTGGATCCCGTTCTTGGCGAACTCTTTCGCTAAAGATCTACGGCCTTGACTGATTGCATTGACGGCATCGTAAATAGCGACCTGACCCTTGTCATTTTCCAGGAAGTGGTAGATGTCCTCACGGCACTTCTTGAGGATTTTGTTGCGTAGTAGGACAGATTGTGGCGATGCGTTCAGAAAGAAGTAGTCGTCGGGGACATCGTTATCCGGACCTAGCGTAGCGCGGCGGTAGTCGCCAAGATGAAACACGTGCGTCTTGACACCCAGCCACCGGAGGTAGCGGGCTAAGGCGACAGATGTGTGTGTCTTTCCTCGAGCTGGTAGTCCACAGGTGGCGATGACTATGCGACCGGAATGGAAGAGGCGGCCTGACTCTGTGCTATAGAGTTGAGCGGGAGCCATTTCCTCTTTGGTGGGTAAGTCGTGGATTGCGTCGACGAAAGTACTCGACCGCCGCCGGAAGCGGGGTGAGTTGGCGTATATCTCAGCGGTACTGTTCATGATAAGTGAATGTCCTGTTCAGGAGGTGGCCTGCGTTGGTACTTTCGCATCGCTGCGGAAAGTGGGGTCATGGCACTCACAGTAGGGTATCCATAATTGCAAATTCTTCAGGTTGTTGGAAGGAAGTGATGGAAACGGAAGAAGTGCAAGATGCACGGGAGGAAAAACGGTCGAATGTCAATGAAATAGAGTTGCGTTCGGTTCAAGGTCACAGTTCCAAGGTTCCGGCGATGATAGCGTTTGCCGAGAGATGTCAGCAAACAAGGTGCGGCAAGCCGTAACAGTCAAGTGCAGCAAGTTCCACGTAACAGTGTCGCAGAAGGGTCTGGAGTCTGGGGGTAGTCAGGCAACACTTTGCGGGGTTTGGTAGTCAATGATCCCAAAAAGCAATCATGGTATCAACGGGCGGCACGTCCTGGTGTACTAGAGATCTGATAAGCCCTAGCGTCACTAGGTCACGTCACGTGATGACTTTAGAATTTCTGTTCGATATCGTCATGCTAGCGAACGCGACCCAACATCGCCCTCCAACCGTTTACTGCCATTTCCATCCCACCTTGTGCAAGCTCTCCCACACTGTAGGGAGTTTTTAGTTTGACCTCGGCACATATTTTCGCCATGGCCACTCCGCTGCAATTCAACCCAGCGCAGGAACAAGCTGTCGCCGACATCCTATCACGCCCTCGCGCCGCCAACACCGGTCCATTCGCACAATTCCTAAATGTATACGATGCGTTCCAAGAGCGGAGAGAGGCATTGGGCCTCAGCAACCCGGGCACAGTCGAGAACATTGCGAGAGAGGTCCAGCGCGATGTCTTCCTGAACAACTCCAGCTTCTCGGGCCTGCGCGCCGAGCTCACCAAGGCCTTCAGCGCCGCTCCTCTATTCCAGGTTGCGCACTCGTTGTCTATGGGATCGCAGGTCATGCCACCATACTCATACATGGTTCTCTACGGATCACCACGGGTTTGTCGCTCATATCGTCGGCAGCCTTCTCAAGCTGACTTTTCAAGGTGTTCATGCAAGGAAACCTCGACAACGAGCTTGCCTTCTCCGGTCGCTTCAACTGGCGCTGGACGTCAGCATTCGTTTCCAAGGCCGCCGTCCAGCTCACATCACAAGGCAACATGGTGTCGCTCGAGAACGACTACACTGGCGCCGACTTCTCCGCTTCGCTGAAGGCTGTCAACCCCTCCATACTCGATGGTGGTATCACCGGCATGCTCATGGCCAGCTACCTCCAGGCCGTTACCCCCAAGCTCTCGCTCGGTATCGATGCGTTCTGGACCCGCCCCGCTATGGCATACCCACCAGAGCTGAACGTCTCGTATGCGGCACGCTACAGGGCTGTCGACTGGATGGCGTGCGGTCAGATCATTCCCGACCGTGGTGTATTGGAGGCTTCATACTGGCGCAGGCTCACAGACAAGGTTGAGACTGGTATCAACTGTAACCTCGCATTTGCTGGAATTGGCCCTGGAGGACCCATGGCCGGACCACAGAAGGAGGGCAATGTCACAATCGGTGCCAAGTACGACTTCCGTCAATCGTCGTACAGGGCGCAGATCGACAACCAGGGCAAGGTCTCGTGTTTGTTGGAGAAGATGATTGCGCCACCAATCCGCGTAACCTTCTCAGGTGAAATCGACCACAAGAGCGTAAGTCTCGCCAACTCCAAGTTTTATTGCAAATACTGACAATTTGGTAGAACGCCGCCAAGCTTGGTCTGGCCGTTGCGATAGAAGCCGCCGACGAGGCCGTCATGGAACAGCAAGAACAACAGGGCGCCGCGATGTCAGCCGGCTCGATCCCCTTCTAAACGCCTCTCCACACCATGTATCGACTATAATACCATGACTCTTCTCTTTGCTGTATTACCACCTTTCTTGGAGCGAGCGTCGTCTGCAAACCCAGCGTCCCCGCTTTCCTGGTCTCATCCACTATCTGCGGATCGATCGCGGTACTGCATGCGCGCGGCTGGGGTGATTTATGAATGTAAAAGGCGTAACGTTGACATCTGATGGGATACGAGCTTTGGTAGACCGGGATCTCGCGAAGCATCTATGTCGCCAGACGTTTGCATGTCGACATGAGACGATGTATTTGTACATATAGTAGCATAGCCAACGGGCGCAAAAAATGAAATGTACAGAAACAGTTGGGTTTTTGCGAGCTGAATATGTGACGCAATACATTATCGTGGAGTCGAGAAATATAGTACAGATCGTTACGGCGTAAAACTCTCGCCGCTGTATGTACAGGTTCAGCCCGTCCATGCACCGCCATCCTAGTAAAACAGGTGTGAAGAGCTCAACATTTTTATGCTTGAGTCGCATTCAGTCGAAACGCCAAATCGAAAATTTTGTCGTCTACAAAGCAGGCTTTGCGCCTGTTGGCTGTCCAGGTACGGGCGCACCGGGAGCCATGAACTGTCAAGAGTTAGTAAGATGTTGCAAAGCGCTCATCGTGGAGCGGCTCGACGTACCTCGTTTTGCGCCCTCTGTGCCTGCAACTCAGCCCTCTCCTGCTCAACAATCATCTGCTCCTCGCTGTACGCCAATGCCCATGGCACACCAAGCAGCAGCGCGCTTGTGCTCACTACCCAGAGAGTCTTGCCGCCCATGTTCAGACCGCTCTTGAACCATGAAGTGATTGTGTTGGCTTTTGAGGAGACGGATCGGCGTGTGCTGGCGGGGATCATGTCTTGTAGGGCGATG